CTTATGGACGTTTCCGGATTCGCATCGTTAATGTTTGGTAACCGCTGTACGAATTGTGGTCTCCTGACGCCCCGTGAATGCTTTATGCGCTACGGGCGACACATCCCCGCCGGAGACTTCCAACTCCTTCTGAACTTTGGAAACAAACGACTTCCCCAAAAAAGCGCAATCACAATATCGTTGTGCATTTACGTGTATCGCAAAAATGACAGAATGTCGTTTTCTTTCATGTGTTAGCTGATAATCCACCACTGATACTCTAAAAAGATAAAAGCACATTGATTGTTATCGAATACCTTACGCAAGCAATGTACGGGGTAAGATTGTCGTCTAAATGACGCAAAAATGAAATTAACACTGACATTTCATTTTGAAAGCTATATTTACCAAAATTATACAAAAATATCTTGAAATACTAAACAGTTTATTCATTTAATTAAAATCGCCAGTGATTTCAATCACGGCATCTAGACGACTTCAGAATCTCCTGCAACTCTTCTGGACGATCTTCTTGTTTAATTTTGGTGAACGCTGCCATAATCCTTGCCTTCAGTTCATCTTTGGTGTTACAAGAAGTTTTATTGGCCTCTCGCTCAACTGCGCCCAACACAAAATAATCAAGTGGGGGATATAATTCTGGGGTGTCAGGTGGTCAGATATAAGGAGTGATGTGATCGTAGAAATTGTCTGACATCATGACGGGGTTCTCTTGCTTTCGTGGCATGGTGCAGAGTTCTGTTGCCAGACATAGGGTCTTCCAGAAGTCACCCACTTGACCCAGGACAGCACTACCTCCTTAAGGCACTGGATGCAGACTTCCGTGTTGAGTCTGAGGTCTTGTGGGAAGATGTATGGAAGCACAACGTCGCCGTCACTAGTAATCACTCCAGACACTTTGATGACTGGATATATCATCCAACTCTTTCCGAATCCTCTGCAATTATAATCAAAAGATTCTTTATTATGAAGTATAATAGCATAAAGTAAAAATTTAAATTAACATTCTCTGACAAAGTTCATAATGACATTTTTTTTTAATTTCACTGCTTGAATAAACACAAAAAAATTAAGATAAAAGGGAGAAATACAATATTGAGAAGATAACACAAATTCAAAAATTTTTTTCATTTGTAGGTCTTTTACATATATTTTGTATATTTTTAAGAATAGTTGTAAAATATTAAATTAATTATTGAATTTAATTTTTGACATTAACTTTATTGTGATAAATTATTTAGTAAGTGTCATTTTTCATTAATTTTACAGTGAAAAACATTACGTTTTTATTTTTTCATCTCTTCTCTTTATTTATGAAGGACAGAAAAATTCAACATACTTTAAAAAAAATAACTGCTTTGTTAAAGAAAAACAAATTATCCATAAAAAATAATTTTATACTTAATGTCGTCATTGTTGAAGAAAAATAGTGAAAAAATATTAAATCTAAATTAACTTCAAGTGATAAATTCTTATAACATTTGTGAATTACGCATCGAAAAAGTTTGCTTAAATATAGAATATACAAAGTTCAAATAAAGTAAACAATATAGTTCAGTAACTAAAATAATAAATTTCATTCGAAGGTAAAACGTGAAAAATTCTTTAGAAAGAAAATGAATTCCAACAACGGACTTTCGCGTGTTTAATTTTTCGCCTCCCCGGCGCCTATTGGCCTTACACGATTTCGAAGCTTGAGTTATGGATCACCTTGGTTTAAACAGATGCTCAGAGACATATTTACGCACACGCATATTATCCTATTAGATTTTGTCAAAAGGGATTCTGATATTTTAGCATTTGATCAGTTTTGCAAAGTGGGTTACAGCACTTTGACACGCGCACACACACACACACACACATATATATATATATATATATATATATGTATATATATATGTATGTATATATATATATAAAGGTTTCAAATACTAATATTACATAGTTAAAATTTATTATATTGGAATCGTAATCACAATCCAATTCATCAGACCTACAAATTCAAAAAGATTTTTTTTAATTTGTAGGTCTGATGAATTGGATCTTGATTACGATTCCAGTGTAATAAATTATAACCATGGAATATTAGTGTTTAAGCCTTTTATCCTGGACATTGAGGTCTACCTGCATTCTATCCTCTTAGAAATTTATATATATATATATATATATATATATATATATATATATATATTCTTCTAGTCTGTCTTTCTTTTGTATTTTCTCTGTTTGGTGCATTTAAACCAGTCTAAAGATTCACTGTAAACCAACTGTGAAATAAATTTAACTTTATAACAGAAAAAATTCAAATGTAAGGTTTTTCTTTGAAATTTCTCTGAATATATATATATATATATATATATATATATATATATATATATATATATATATATATAGATAGATAGATAGATAGATAGATAGATATAATTATTCTTAATTATATATAGATATATATATATATAATTATTCTTAATTTTGTATATATATATATATAAATATTCTTAATTATATATATATATATATATAATTATTCTTAATTTTTATATATATATATATATATATATATATATATATATATATATGAAGAGGTATTATGATCATTAACTTTATCTATATTATTGGGATTGTTATCCTCATCTTCTTTGCCATATTCACAACATTTCGGTCGTCGTACTCTCCGAACCTCTTTAGGTGATTGGAATTTCCAAAGGAACCCATTATCGTTATTATTATTATTATTGCATATTTTTTTACCTGTGCTTATATTGCAATTTTTCGTTATTATTATTATTATTATTATTATTGCATATTTTTTACCAGTGCTTATATTGCAATTTTTCGTTATTATTATTATTATTATTATTATTATTGCATATTTTTTACCAGTGCTTATATTGCAATTTTTCTTTATTATTTATTGCTTTTCTCTAGTACCCGTTTTTATTAGTTCTCATATTTTATTCATTTCTATGCTTGCTCGGCTCAGTAGATTTTCACCTGAAGAAGGCCAGACATACACAAAAGCCAAAACGTTGTGTATATGGCAATGAAATGGCGATATACATACATATATATATATATATATATATATATATATATGAATGGAAATGAATATCAAAACTGTTATTTTTTAAAATTGAAATATTTTAAGATGGATATGTTTATTTAATTTTATTTGCTTTTATTTAAGCAAGAATCACTAAGTCGGGCAAGATATACAACATATGCTGAGAGCCATAAATAACACAGTCGTATGTGTTTGGTACCACATTTTTACGTAATATGCAAATTAGTTATCTTCCTTAAGCAAGAAGCAGTAAGTTGGGTCAGATATAAGACACATATTGGTAGAGATAAATTAAAAAGTTTTATATATATACATGTATATATTTATATATATATATATATATATATATATATATATATATATATATATATATATATATATATATATATATATATATATATATATATATATATATATTGTATATTTAGGCAGCAATTTTTCATTAAAGCATATTTCATTAAATAATATAGACAAGTTTTGTCTATTTATTTTAAGTAACACTCTGTCAGCAAACACAGGAAATACATTGATCTAAAAAAAGGAAGACAGACAAGAAGAAAAGATACACACACACACACACACACATATATATATATATATATATACACGCACATATGGAGAAAAAAAAACTTTTGCCTGATGCGTTTTGTCCTTTGCGACTTCATTGAAATAAAGTGATGTTTGCGTTCATGTGATTACACATGCACATGAAGAAGAGGGGTCGCTTAATAAAAAAGAAAAAAATTAATTTCAGCGTCTCCTCTTCTTCATGCGCATGTGGAATAAAAGCAGCGTAATAGTCAATTAAGTTCAATGAAGTTTTAAATGACAAAACGCGTCACATGAAAATTTTTTCATTTTGTCATAGATTTTCCTAAAATTGTTCTTCATATATAAGCATTTATCTATAGTTTTCCCTTACACACGTACTTATATATGCAAAATTTTAATCAACATATATATTAATTTAATATATGCATACACATACATAGAAACACACATACACATTCAAATATAATTCAATATCGCATATAGTATAATAATATAAATTATATATGTGTGTGTATGTGTATGTGTGTGTGTGTGCGTGTGTGATTTTTTTACGAAATGTATCTACCCATACACCAGCTCTCTTACATACACAGGCGCACACAGACACACATACACACATATATGATTTTGCTATTAAATGTATTCAAATACACGCACAAACAGATGCACGCATACAACCAACACACACACACACACACATATATATATATATGATTTTACTGTTAAATGTAGCCCTACCACATATATACAAATACACACACAAACAGATGCACACACATACACACACGCACGTACACGCATATATATATATATATATATATATATATATATGTGTGTGTGTGTGTGTGTGTGTGTGTGTGTGTGTGTGTGTGTGTAGTAAAATAAAATTAAGCCACGAAGGCAAAAAGCGAGACAGTAGACACGGACTCTGCCTATAAGGGCGTGGTGATGGGTGGTGTATAGGGATGTGGGGGAAGATACAACCTAGTATTCGGCCATTCCCTTCACTTCTACCCACAAGATCGATGCAGGCAGCCATCACGACGCTAAAGTTACTGCTGCTCCGATTAACAGACATAAAAATAATGTCGCCAACACCCCTACCATTTCACTTCCGCCATCTTCGTCTTATATTTTATCCCCCTCCCCCATATCCGACACCCCTTCCTTGATCATCATTATCCCCGCCCTGCGTCTCTACTACTACTAGTAGTAGTAGTAGCGCTTATTTACCGACATCACTTCTGTTCAGGCATCAGCGGTATCGTCAGTTAACGGCACTTTCTTCATCATCATCATCATCATCATCATCATCATCATCATCATCGTTGTTGTTGTTGTTGCTGTTGTTATTGTTATTTTAACTTCCTCTTCATTATCCTTAATGATGCCACCACCTCCACACCAACAATTCTATCGTCACCACTATCATCATCATCATAGTGAAGCTCACAATCAAGCATCTTTTCCCGTTCGCCTCTCGCCACAATGTTTGGTTTTATAGTATTTATTATTATTATTATTATTATTATTATTATTATTATTATTATTATTATTTTCTCTCGTCATTATTCTCGTCCTCCCCGATTAATCAGTTTTGTTTCTTTTTAAGTTGTCTACGCTTTCTTTCACCTTTTCTCTTTCTTTCTTTCTTTCTTTCTTTTCTTTCTTTCTTTCTTTCTTATATATTCTTTCTGATATGTTCCTTTGTTCTATCTATCTATCTCAGCCTGTTCATCTATCTATCTGTGTGTCTGTTCATCTATCTATCTGTGTGTGTGTGTGTGTGTGTGTATATAGAGAGAGCGCTGTCAACTTTTATGCACGCTTAAAAATTATACACACACACACCCATATACATGGGTGTGTGTGTAATATTTAAGCGTGCATAAAAGTTGACAGCGCTTTTTTTGGAAAGCAAATCATACATAAATACACTGTCGAAAAAAAGGCAAACTTTCCGCTGGAAACTTTTGCACACAGCATACCAACTCCATGTTTTATATTCGTTTCTTTCTTTCTTTTATTCGTGTCTTTCTTTCTTTCTTTCTTTTTTCTTTCTTTCTTACAGAATACACACAGTCGCACTGTTTTCCTCTTTCGGTCGCCGTAACCAACTCCGCCATTCCCGTCTCAGCCTCGTTCGCTTATGTCTTATCTAATGATCTCCCTCTCCCACAACCTTTCACTTCCTTCCACGTCTCCTTAATCCCACCCTCCCATCACCGACCGCCCCACCCTTCATCTGCTACCCAACCTCACCCATTGACAATTCACCGAATTTCATTTGATTCCGTCGTCATTATATTTTTAGCTATATTGCGTTGTTCTTGCTTATGCTGATGGATTTGAAGCGAACGCTGTGGGTGTGAGTGTGTGTGTGTGGGGGGGGTGCTTGTGTTTCCGGCTGTGTCCTCTTTAGGTGTGTATTCGTCGGTGTTTTTTCTCTGCATACTGGGGAAGGTGTGCACCCGTGTTATGTACCGACATATGTGTTTATATGGGAAAAAATATGCGTGAAAATGCGTCTCGTCGTGCATAATCTGATATGTCTTGGGTTACCGTAAGTACCACACAAGGCCACGCTTAAAGGGCAACAAATGACGAAGAAAGAGTAAAGCGTCTATAATTTTCGAGATGAGGGTACTCGTTTCACCGGAGTAGCGTCCAATCAGTCTATATTTCTAACAAGCCACAGCAAAAAAATAGATTATGACAATTGCTATCCACGTGATATCAACGTATTCCCTTCAACAGCTCAACCTTTTTTCACTGTATTCACTCAACTAAAATTTAAATTTAATTTAAAATAACCTAGAATCTGTTGTTAAATAGGGCAAAAAGGGGATTGTTAATTTTAACACCCCAAAACGAGTCATTTTCAGGAGATTGACTCATTACACCTTCTCAGCTGACATATAGTGGAAAAAGTATATATAATTGCCAAGTCCGCAGCTAAGAAAGTTGCTTCACAATATCATGCAAGACAATTTTTCTCACCAGAATCTGTTTTACATATTTAATAACTCTTCCATTCGCCTTTGCTTTTAATATTTCTGCAACATCGGGTCTGGTGCGCCTGATATATGTTTACATATTCTTGACATAATCCAAAGAAGAATCTGTAATGTTATTGGTCCTGACCTGGCATCTCGACTTCAGTCTCTTTCTCACCGCCGTAACGTAGCTTCCCTGTGTCTTTTCTATAAATACTTTCATGGTAATTGTTCTTTTGAACATTCCTCTATGGTAGTTAGATTTTATGGTTTTTAGTACGGTACTAGATTGACGGTAACGTATTTCACAGATGAAATTACTATATGCAACCGTAAGTTCTATGTTAACAATTTCTTCTGTCATACTTCTCGCTTGTAAAATTCTCTTTTGATTTCTTGGTTTCACGTCAACTTCGATCTTCAACAATTTAAATGTCATGTCAATCCTTATCTTTTGTCTTCTTAATACTTGCTCCTTTATTGTCCTCTCTCCTTAATAGTATTTTTTTTTCATATTCTCTAACACCCAATAACCACCTTACGTCCAAGTGGCTTCATTGCCTTGCTTGGGGTGAAATGATTAAAAAGAAACCTATTTAGTCTATCTATAAAGTCTCCTATTCAGGATTTCCATCAGTTGTCGTGTTGAGTTTTCTTTAATTAGGTCTGTTTCAGCTTCAGCAGTCCATTGAGTTCGCACTTCTATCTATCTATCTATCTATCTATCTATCTATGTAATCACTGTTCCCTCTTTGAGCACCTTATGTAGCCTGACGTGGCTTAACCATTTCGCCCAGAGAGGGGCGTTCGGTCAGCAAAGTCTATTTTACTGTCAGGTTATGTGACGGTTCCGTATAGGATACAGGTTCGATTCCTGTCGGGGGACGAATGTTTTCTATGAAAATTTCTCGGACATTCAATCGGGTGAATGTTTAATACTGATTATTATAAATAGAGCATTTACTTAAATATTTGTATCGATAAAAAGAATGTATAAACATAAAAATGTCTTAAAACAGTTGTCGGACTTTGTCTATTTCATAATATATATATATATATATATATATATATATATATATATATATATATATATATATAAAATAATTATAACATAAATATGTTATAAAATCACTACAAATATAGCCATTTTGTTTCAACACCCTAGGTGTCAAGTGATGATGTTGAAGATAAAATAAATGGTTTTAAAAGTTTCAAATTAATTAACGATCCTTCGCTAGGGGGAAAAATAATATATTTAAATTTATATATATATATATATATATATATATATATATATATATATATATATATTATATAAATAATAATTATATCTGTCTACTTTTGTATTGCACTCTTTTTAAGAATAGTAATTGTTGGTTATTGAATTCATTCCGTATACACCAATTATATACTTATATATATATATATATATATATATATATATATATATATATATATAATTGAATTTGTATTTATTTTTGTTTATGATCGATTTCATCACGATTCTTCTGTTAAGCTTGTACAGTAATTATACTTTCTTAGAGTCCAATAGGTTATAAAACGCTCGGAGAATTCCAGTAATATATATATATATATATATATATATATATATATATATATTGATATGTTAAAATCCAGCGTATGCTATTTCTAAACTACCTTATAATAACACCTTATAATATGCATTTAAATTGTTGAAAAATAAGGTCCCGATAACATCATTGGATGCAGACACGGTGCCGGTGAGACATTAGGGTTTTTTGTGTTTTTGTTTTTTTATCGTAGTTGGATACATTCACGACTTTAAGGAGTCCAACACTCCCAGTGCGCACAGAGTGCGCTTGGACACCAACCTAGATATTTCTACATCCTCGCGAATATCATTACACCCACAATAAAGGAAAGAGGCCATATAGTTCCAACGAGAGAAAAGTGTGTATATTAAAAAGAAGAGAGAAACCGCAAACGTTTTTGGTTGTAATGTGGATTTTTTTTTTTTTTTAATATTATGCTTATCTTTATTTTCCATAATTTTGCTACACGCGTTTCCGGTCTCGCGACCGTCATCAAGCAAAAAACAGAAAAAATACACACAGAAAAAAGAATGTCTCATATCGAGAATATTTAATATAAAGTGTGGGTGTGTGTGTGATTCGCAGACAGTACTGTTTCGCTGTGTCACAGCTCTTCAGTGCAACTAGACATCCGAATACTTCAATCCCGGATCGAAACCCAACCGATCAGTCAGAGTTTCTACTACTGAGCTATCTTCATTCGATAGAGAGAGACAGATAAATCTAGCGTATTGTTTTTACGAATGTAAACAAATGCCAATCAGCCGGAGTGCTCCAATTCATTTTATTGAAGAGCTTTGCATTAACGCAGGTGGCTGTTGTTTATAGATTCGGATTTGAAAGTTAAACAAAGTTATTTCTGAGAAAATTACGGATTTGATTTTCTTCCGACATTCTTTATTTAATCGTTATATTTCATGGATACAAGTTTTTAAGTAAACATCTTTGTTTTTAAAACAGTGAAATTATACAGCCACCAGCCTGTGCATTCGAGAGTCTTAATTAAGGAGTAGGAAGACAGAATTTTTTTAATACTCTCGAGTGCAAAAGGCCGATGTACACACGCACACACACATAAACGCCCATACAGACATATATATATATATATATATATATATATATATATATATGAAAATTTCTCCGATTTTCGGTAGAGAAGACAATATTATGAATAAAAATGACAGATAGGAAAAAAAACGTTTTCGTCAATGGACTTATCAAAGCAAAATACGAAATGAAATTAAATGAACAACGTAACTAATAAAAACAAAAACAGAATGTCAGCAACGGAGTGTAGAGAAACGCTATTTTCTTATTTTTTAAATTAACGTCAGAGATTGTCACGTGGAGAATATTGTTTTATTAGTTACGTTGTTCATTTAATTTCATTTTCGTATTTTGCTTTGATATAGTTTTCCTATTGTCATTTTTATTCATATATATATATATATATATATATATATATATATATATATATATATATATATATATATATATGACTTGGTATCAAATATAAATCAAATATCGATCGACATCCGACATGAAAACTAGGAAACGTTTGACAAACGTTTTCGCTTTTTATTAAAGCTTCATCAGGGAATGAGTTATGAACAATATATATATATATATATATATATATATATATATATATATATATTTAAAAAAAAACAGACCACTTTAAGGTACCATTACAATAATTTATTTCACCAAAATCCTTTTTAAAGGATTTCGGAGCATCAGGTAACACTTCCAACAATGAAATGAGAGAAAGTGGTCTGTTTTTTCATTAAATATTAGCTCTGTTCTTCACATTGAGCTCTCAGGATTTCATCCTCCTTGGATTTACCAATTCGGTTTACCAAGTTCTTCATAACTTAACTATATATATATATATATATATATATATATATATGGAATCCATTATATTCACTTACATGCTAATACCCTTGGGAAATGTGTGAATCCTCTTCTTCTCCCTCCAGCTATGGGTAAATAGCAGGACAGACTGGGTTCTATAGCCTTGGATGGCAACTGGTCTAGAAGGACAACTCTGAATTCAAAACCCGCGGAGGGTCGTTTGGTGACCTTGTGGCAAGAACTATATCGATAGTTATTGGCTGAGTGAACAATTCTTTGGAATTCTGGGTCTGTTCGTTAGCCTCCCTATCAAAAACAAACCCAGTCAAAATAACCCAAATATATATATATATATATATATAAATATATATATATATATATATATATATATATATATATATATATATATATATATATATATATATATATATATATATATATATATATATATATATATATATATATATATATATATATATATATATATATATATATATATATATATATATATATATATATATATATATATATATAAATAATTGAATTGAAGGCACGGTTGAGTAATGGATAGCGGCTTGGATTAAGGAATCGGAGAGGCGAGTTCGAATTCCAGTCGAAACCATTACATTCACTTACGTGCTAATACCCTTGGGAAAGGTGTGAAATCCTTATCCCTCCAGCTATGTGTAAATAGCAGGGCAGACTGGGTTCTATAGCCTTAGATGGTCTAGGAGAAGGACAACTCTGAATTGAAAACCTGCAGAGGGTCGTTTGGGGACCTTGTGGCACGTAGTGCACCAGGTCTCTGTATTCGGCCCTTCAAAAAGTAGGGATGGTCCTGCACGAAACCTCCACCACTATAATCAAATCTCATGTGCTGTTGTCGGGCAGTCGTTTCCCTAGGAACTGATCTGCTTGACCCACATACGTCTAATTCGACGGGAGAGTCGAGTAACTATATATATATATATATATATATATATATATATATATATATACAAGTGGCGGTTCTATGTCATTAATATTGGTCGGGGTGATTACAATCATTAACAAAATAGATTATTGGTATAACTTAGGCACAAAAATGTTTCCTTTACAATTATATATTTATTAAAAAAATCTCTCTGCAAGAAATTAAAAAAAACACATTTTGGTATTTTAATATTAATTGTAATAATTCTATGCCTTATGTCTCAGTAAACATTTTTTACCAGAGCTCATATTGCAGTTTTTGTTGTTATTTATTGTTTTTCTCTAACACTCCTTATTAATGGTTCCCTTATTGAATTCATTTCTATGCTTGGTTGGCTAAGGAAATTTTTGTGGCGTAGCATATGTGCTGATTCCTTAAGCTTTCGTATTTTACAGTGATGTTCTCTTTCTATTATTTCAAGCTCATCCCACGGTGCAATAAATGTAAATAATGCAAGTAATCATAATACTTCATCTCAGAGACATAAACAGATATGATAAAGAAGATATGCAAATCGTTTCGTCATTGAAAGGGACTTCTTTAGAATAAAGTTTTTATTGTTTTTATTGAGGGACTCATATATACAGGATGCGATGGATAAATAAATGAAAAAAAAAAGCTTTACATCTATCGGACTGTATTCCTCACCGCCATTTTCACAACGCTCCGGCCTTTTTCAGGTGATTGGAATTTCGAACCGAAACCTTTATTCCATCCAATGTGGTAGATTCTTGTATTTCCATATTTTTTACCAGTGCTCATACTCCAAATTTTGTTATTATTTTTACATCTTTATTTTTACCTGTTGTTATTCATTTAATTTTCTCTAACCCTCCTTATTAATGGTTTCCTTACTGTATTCATTTCTATGCTTGGTCTGCTCAGCAGATTTTTGTTGCTTAACAAATGTGCTGATTCCTTCAGTTTTCATATTTTGCAGTGATGTTTTCTCTCTAGCATTTCAACCTGATCCCACATAGTTGTAGAGATTCCTCTTTTCTTTCTATATGTGGTCAGCTAGACCTGATTTTTCTATTTCGCTCGTGTTACGGGTTTACGGCGTTTTTGCAGCCTTACCTTAAGAGGGCGGCCTATTTTTCCTTTATATTTCTTAATATTGAATATTTATTAACATAGGAACTAAAAAAATCACGGAGGACGAAATAAAGGGTTCAGTTCGAGATTCTAATTATCCGATTGAGGCCGGAGTGTACAACGTCCGAAATGTCGGGATTATGACGATATAAGATGAGGAAAACAGTCCGAACTATTCAAATAATGTAAATAGATGAAATATATCAACCATTTTGAAATTTTGACTTTCTTTCATTTTTTTTTATTAACCAACTTAAAATATTATATGTTTTAACAGTCTTCTGAAAAAGTGACAGCAAAATCTGAAATGGTATTGGAATAGTAAAAGATGCCTTTCAAAAGCTAAGCAAAGTATTAAGAAACAGTAACATTTCGTTAGAAATAAAGAAAAGGCTGCTGAACTGTTACGCAATAACAGCTAGACCTGATTTTTCTATTTTCGCTCGTGTTACGCGTTTACGGCGTTTTTGCAGCCTTACCATAAGAGAGCGGCCTATTTTTCCTTTATATTTCTTAATATAGAATATTTATTAACATAGGAACTAAAAAAATCACGGAGGACGAAATAAAGGGTTCAGTTCGAAATTCTAATTACCCGATTGAGGCCGAAGTGTACAACGTCCGAAATGTCGGGATCATGACGATATAAGATGAGGAAAACAGTCCGAACTATTCAAATAATGTAAATAGATGAAATATATCAACCATTTTGAAATTTTGACTTTCTTCCATTTTTTTTTATTAACCAACTTAAAATATGATATGTTTTAACAGTCTTCTGAAAAAGTGACAGCAAAATCTGAAATGGTATTGGAATAGTAAAAGATGCCTTTCAAAAGCTAAGCAAAGTATTAAGAAACAGTAAAATTTTGTTAGAAATAAAGAAAAGGCTGCTGAACTGTTACGCAATAACAGTCCTCCTGTATGGCCGTGAATACTGGACAATAATATCACAAACAAAGACGCTACCCGAGGCTACAGAAATATGTTTCTATAGAATGTCACTGAAAATACCATCGACCAAACTTGTGAGTAACGACCAAGTTTTAAGAAAAAAGAAAATAAAGAAACGCGTACACATAAAATCAGAAAGAGGCAGTAGAAATTATTGAGATACATAAGGAAAGACGGTTTGGAGAATTTGATACTCACAGGGCATCTCGAAGGCAAGTGGAAAAGAGGGAAACAGAGAGTAAACAACTTAACGAGCTTGCGTTACCTACATATCAAGCTTGTCACCCCATGTAATGTATGTATGTTACCTACATAACGTGCTTGTGTTACTTAGCGAGTTTGTGACACCCACATAACAAGCTTGAGTTACCTACGTAATGTTCTATTGTTACATACGTAACGAGCTTGTGTTACCTACGTAAAGTTCTAGTGTTACTTACATAACGAGCTTGTGTTACCTGCGTAACGAATTTGTTACCTATGTAAGGAGCTTATGTTACCAATGTAACGAGATTATGTTATGTAATGAACTTGTGTTACCTAAATAACGAGTTTGAATTACGTACGTAACGTTCTAGTGATACCTACGTAACTAGCTTCTGTTACCTACGTAACGAACTTGTGTTACCTACGTAGTGAGGTGTTACCTATATAATGAACATGTTACCTATGTAACGAGATTGTGTTATGTAATGAAATTATGTTACATACGTAACGAATGTGTTACACACGTAACGATATTGTGTTACTTAAGAAACGAACTTGTGTAAATACATAGAACAGAAACTGAGGGAGACGATGAAAAGATAAATATTACTAAGGGTCACTTTTTTCTTTCAAACATGAGGACAGAATTTTGATTTTGATTCCAGTCTAGGAAATTAATTTTCATAACAATTTTCCGACTTCTTGACCGGTTGCTGGATGTGCGGATGGTGTAATTGATATTGGCTCAGAATGAGAAATCGGAGAGACGAGATCAAATTCCAGTCGAGTTCGTTACGCGCCAACAGCCTTGCGAGACGTATGAATTCATCTCTTCCCTCGAACGCTTAAATTGTAGAACAGTCTCGGATCATTAGCCGTGGTTGGTAACTAGTTTAGGAAAAAGATAACTCTGAACTCAAAACCGGTTGGGCAAGGAACTAACAACTCCATTACTGTGGCCCATACTCCTCGGGGAGTCTAGCTGTGGCCGATACTCCTCAGGAAGTCTAGCTGTAGCCCATACTCCTCAGGAAGTCTAACTGTGGCCCATACTCCTCAGGGAGTCTAACTTTGGCCCATACTCCTCAAGGAGTCTAGCTGTGGCCCATACTCCTCAGGGAGTCTAGGTGTGGCCCATACTCCTCAAGGAGTATAGCTGTGGCCAATACTCCTCTGGGGGTCTAGCTGTGGCCCATACTCCTCAGGGAGTCTATGAGACTTGAGAGCTGTAACGGGATACGCCATAGGATGTCAACGAAATTTGTGAGTTGTGACCCATGCTCGCCATGGTGTCAACGTGACTTCATTGTTGTAGTCCCAAAATATTTTCTGGCTTTAAATAACTTGCAAACGGTTGATAAGCCGTAAAAAATTCTCTTCTCTCTCCAGCTACGGGTTAATTAGCCAGAATTACAGCATTAATCTGTTATTATCTCAAAAAAAAAAAAAAAAAGAAATCTTACAATATAAAAAAAAAAATATTTTCTGGCTTTAAATAATCTGCAAAGCCGTAAAAAAATGAATCAATCGAAATCCCAAATTTACTGTTGCTTCTTCTTGCGGTATTTGCATTAAATTTTAAATTTCTATTCCTTCCTATTTCCATTCTATTGTGAATAGAATTCTTAAAAATATAACACGTAAAAATCCTAACTTGACAGGATTTCTATGTTTGCTTAAATATATTACAAAAGTTTTTTTTTTTTTTGCTAAACAACCGGGAAATCAGATCAAGAAATAAAATGCAAAAGTGCTATCGTTTCAATAGAAAACATGTAGTAATATCTAACATTAAAACATGTAGCAATGTCTAACATTAAAACATGTAGCAATATATATTATGAAAACAGGTAGCAATATCTAACATCGAAATATCTAGAAATATTTAACAGTAAAACATGTAGCAATGTCTAACATTAAAACGTGTAGCAATATTTAGCATTAAAACTTGTAGCAATGTCTGACATTAAAACATGTAGCAATACCTAACATTTAAACATGTAGCAATACCTAACATTAAAACATGTAGCAATGTAAAAAAAGAAACATGTAGTAATGTCTAACAGTAAAACATGTAGCAATGTCTGACAGTAAAACATGTAGCAATGCCTAACATTAAAACATGTAGCAACGTCTGACATTGAAACATGTAGTAATGTCTAACAGTAAAACATGTAGTAATGTCTAACATAAAAACACATTACCAAGATCTCGTTAAATGAACTTTTAGTTTTTATTTTTGCTACAATTGCATAAGGCGGATGGTGCATTTTGATCTACGGGGGGCTTTATTCGAGAAATCTCTTTTCGAATGTTATCTGACGGCAACCGATTGAAATTTCGGCAATTTTCCTACGCCCTAAAGACTCAACATTTCTTTTCTGCCCGTCGGCATGTATTATGATGACAACAAAAAAGTCGGCTTTGCTTCACTGATAACAACGGATTTGCTCGCAAAGATTATAGCGTGTCATCATTATTTATCTGTGGGTGTCATCCACGCTGTAAAAGCGTCGTCACTTCCCAATCGATATTAGAAGCCGAATTCGTCTTTGATTGAAAAATAAACCAATTAATGACAGTGTCGTGAAAGGAAATTTGCCGACACTTGTCCAGCGATAAGCTCCCAAATGGGGATGGCTTTAGTTTTTATTCATTCGTTTTTTTATCCATTTTTTTTTGTTTCTTTTGTAAATAAAATTTTGCGCTTTTTATATCCTTTTTTTTCTTACATTTTTTCCTTTTAACATTTTCTTCTTTTGTTTTCTTTCTTTATTTCTTTCTTTCTTTCTTTCTTTCTTTCTTTCCTTTTTAAATTATTTTTTTTTATTCCCATTTAAAATTTTTTCTTTCCTTCTTACATTATTTTTCTTTCGTTTTCTTTCTTTGTTTCTTTCCTTAGTTTTTAAATCCATTTTTGTTCAGATTAAAAAACCTTTCTTTTTTGCATTTTCTTTCTTTCATTCTGCAGAATTTACAGACACTTGTCCAGCGATATGCTCCCAAATTGGGGGGGTATTTTATTCCTCTTTTTGTGTGTGTGTGTTTCTCATTGTTTTTTGACTAAAATTTCGTGCATTTTATATTCTTTTATTTTTAAAAACTTCCTTTCTCTTTTCCTTTTTTAAAATTTCTTTTTTTCTTTCTTTCTTCACTTTGTAATTTAATTGCTTGTTCAGATTTATAATCTTTTATTTCCTTCTTATATTTTATTCCTTACTTACATTTTCTTTCCTTCTCCTATTTTCATTCCTTCGTTTTATTTTTCGTTTTTAAATCCATTTTTTGTTCAGATTTAAAATCTTTTCTTTCATTTTTACATTTTCTTTCTTTTGTTTTCATTCTTTCTTTCATTTTTAAATACTTATTTAGACATTTAGAATCCTTTGTTTTTTTTTTCCTTTGTTTCTTCCTTAAATTTCTTTCTTTCGTTTTTAAATTCATTTTTTCAGATTTACAGTCGTTTTTTTTGTTTGGTTTTTTAAATTTTCTTTCTTTCGTTTTTTTATAATTCTTTCATTTTACATTCATTTTTGCTCATATTTAAATTCCTTTCTTTCATTCTTACATTTTCTTTCGTTTTTTCTTTCTTTCTTCATTATTTCTGTTTGCTTCATTTGATTCATTTTTCTATTCGTTAGTTTTATCTTCTTCCTTTGTTTCTTTCTTGTATTTTTAATACTTCGTTTTATTATTACTGTCATTAATTTTTTGTTCTTCCTTTTTTCTTTTCTTTATTGTACCTTTTTCTTTCTTTTTTCTTCCTTGCTTTTTCTTTTCTTTTTCTTTCTTCCATTTTCTTTCTACTGTCTTTCCCTTTCCTTTTCTTTTTTCTTTTTCTTTCTTCGTTCTTTCTTTTCTTTTCTTTTCTTTTCTTTTCTTTCTTTTTTCTTTCTTTCGTTCCTTTTTCTTTCTTCCTTTCGTTCCTTTTTCTTTCTTCCTTCCTTTTTCTTTTTTCTTTTTCTTTCTTTTTTCTTTCTTCCTTCTTTTTTCTTTCTTTCTTTTTTCTTTCTTCCTTTTTCTTTCTTTTTCTTTCTTCCTTCATTTTTCTTTCTTTCTTTTTCTTTCTTTTTTCATTCTTCCTTCCTTTTTCTTTCTTTCTTTTTCTTTCCTTCGTTCCTTTTTCTTTCTTTTTCTTTCTTCCTTCTTTTTTCTTTCTCTTTCTTCCTTCCTTTTCCTTTCTTTCTTTCTTCCTTCCTTTTTCTTTCTTTCTTTTTCTTTCTTTTTCTTTCTTCCTTCTTTTTTCTTTGTTCCTTCCTTTTATTTCTTTCTTTTTCTTTCCTTCGTTCCTTTTTCTTTCTTTTTCTTTCTTCCTTCTTTTTTCTTTCTCTTTCTTCCTTCCTTTTCCTTTCTTTCTTTCTTCCTTCCTTTTTCTTTCTTTCTTTTTCTTTCTTTTTCTTTCTTCCTTCTTTTTTCTTTCTTTCTTTTTCTTTCTTTTTTCATTCTTCCTTCCTTTTTCTTTCTTTCTTTTTCTTTCCTTCTTTCCTTTTTCTTTCTTTTTCTTTCTTCCTTCTTTTTTCTTTCTTTCTTTTTCTTTCTTTTTCTTTCTTCCTTCTTTTTTCTTCCTTTCTTTTTCTTTCTTCTTTCATTTCTTTTCTTTCTTTTTCTTTTCTTTCTTTCTTTTTTCTTTCTTTTCTTATTTTATCTTTCTTCATTCTTTTTTCTTTCTTTTCTTTCTTTCTTCTTTCTTTTTCTTTCTTTCTTCCTTTCTTTTTTCTTCCTTTCTTTTCATTTTTCTTTCTTTTTCTTTTATCTTTCTCTTTTCTTTTTTGTTTATTTGTTTCTTTTCTTTCTTTTTCTCATTCTTTCCATTTCCAGATATTACCTTTGTGTACTCTATAAAAATACATTTTTCCGAATTTCCTTTCTTTTCTTTTCCTTTTCTTTCCTTAATCCGTCACTGGTTACTTCTGTGAGTCTTTTTTTCTCTCCCACTTCTTTCGTCTTCTTCTTTCTAGCATTCCACATTTTATTTATTCTTGTTTTTTCTGTCTTCCTTTGTCGTCCGCCATCTTACAACCGTCAGATTTTCTTTTTAGTCGTTGGAAAGTTCATTTCTATAGATGTTATATCGATATAATCAATTGTCAGACTCTATATATTTTAACACAGAATTTTCCCATTGAGAACGGATCTGTTCAAATCTGAGAACCATCACGACTGCAATCTTGCGAGCGAGACGTGATCTGGGCACAAATTGCGATCAACTCATTTAAAAACCTGATTAGTGTAAAGGAAAATCATTCTCTTCAAAATTCATCGCTGCCTTAAAAATCGCTTTTCATCGTTCTGAAAAAAAAATGAATTAATAAAAATATTGAAAGATTCAGACATATCCAAGAATTTCGTCAAAAAAACGACAGTCAAAAGTTAGAGTTAAAGAAAATCATATACACACACACACACACACACACACACACACACACACACACACACATATATATATATATATATATATATATATATATTTAATGATATGTTTTGTGTTACAAAATTTTATCTCTGCCATAAATAGACAAAAATTAGTTTTATTATTACCACTCATGATAATAAAAAGTAAAAATGAAAAACGAGCTAGCTAACCGGTTTCGTACCTCGCTCAACAGAGCTAAATCGAAGTAAATAGAGTAAATTATATAATATAAAAAAAAAAAAAAACAATGGACAAAGTTTATTGGTGGGAAAAAATTAAATGATAATTAATTGGAGGCCTAATATAAAGTCCTTCTGTTTACAACGAGAAGGCTTTTTGGAATTTGAGTGGAACTTGCTAAGGATGGTCAAAGCGTCCACACTAAAACTAACAGCACAATTATGGCTATACATATATATATATATATATATATATATATATATATATATATATATATATACCTCAGTCTCTGGTTCTCTCACTTTTGTTGTGATGATAGAAGATCTGTCAAGAATGTTCTAAGAACATGAACGTAAATTTACTGTGGATGGTCTAGAGATTAAAGCACTTTCTATATATTACAAACTATAGAATATACTTATGAAACAGAAACAAACAATACTTTACTTTTCTTAGATATCATGTTACAACACAGTTACAATAGCCTAAAACTATGTGTCCATAGCAAGTACACTAATAAAAATCATCTCATAAATTTCTATTCACACCATAACAACAAAATAAAATCCGTAATAACTACCGAATTCCATTTAAGAGCATTCAGAATTTGTGTCGTCAATATTTACATGAAGAGGGAAATACATTAAAAATACGTTTAAGCTCCATCAAAGCTTTGATCATTTCTTATTCACAATGAATACATAAAAGAAACGTTAACGAGTTAAAATAAAAGATTATATGAACATAAAAGGGATCTTTTACAAAACAACACATTAAATGCATTGCTTGCTCACATGAACGAGTTTGACGATAAATTTGATTAAAGAAATGCTACTTTACTTAAAAAGGAAGCAATTTACTAGGACGAAAATGTTTAAAAATTGGTTTACTTGCGAGATCATCCACAGTAAATTTGTGTCCAGGTTTTTATGTTTCAGCTTTCATGGCAGATCATCTATTGTAACAATGTAAGACATTTAAAACAAAGTGATAGAAACAAAAAGAAAATGAATCTAAATGAAATCACCTAGACTATATAACCAAAACATACGGATATATACCGAGTGTAACAGCAAAATTGTTAAATCGTGTAACAACAAAATTGTCCAAATCGTGTAACAGCGAAATTGTCAAAATCGTGTAACAGCATAATCCTCCATCACACAAAATGATTAATATCTAAAAAAAAAAAACAAAAAAAAACACGGACTACTTGAGTTCCCCTATTCCATGTTTTCAGATAAGACGTTCAACCATCTTGACACATTTTGTTGTAAGAATCAGTGAAAAATAATAAGAGAATAGGTTAAAATTAAAGATCATTCAGGCCTTCATTAATGGTACCAATATTCATATTCTAGCTTCCATCTTCAAAGTTCATTCAAGGACCATCAAAAGAATGGTGAATATGTTTTAAAAAGGGGAAACGCTAAAGAGGAAAACTGGATCAGGAGTTCACAACAGGAACAGGGATCATCATTTCAACTTAGAGCTATAGAAATCAATTAGAAAAGACCCAGCTCATTCCATAAGACGTTTGGCAATGGAGAGAGAAGTTTCAGCTATGACAGTCCAAAGAGCAGGGAAAAAAGACTTAAAAATGAAATCGTACGTGAAACCTGTGAGGCACATGGTTAATCTAGGACTGAAAGTTAGAAGGTTAGAGAGAACGAAGATCATCTTGAAGTTGGAATATAACCCTGTAATAATATATATATATATATATATATATATATATATATATAATTTATTTCAATACTTCATTAGTTACTGATCCTTAACTATGATTAATTAATGATGGACATGTCATTTTCGTATATGATCGATTTCATCACAATTCTTCCGTTAAGCTTGGAGCGTAATTATGCATTCTTATTGCTCAAAGTAGAGTCCAATAGTGTTATAAAATCCTCGGAGAATTCCAGTAAGATATCTTTAATCATG